GCTGATCTGCCCAGCCCTGGGGGGGCCAGGACTGCGCGCTTTGCCCCCTTCCACGGCCAGGACCCTGCTCAGACGAGGATAGCCACTGCAAGAAACTCCCGCTGACGGCGCTGGCCAAAGCATGGGTACATCACTACGTCTTGGTGCAGAAAGTTCATGTTACAGAAGACAACAATGCTTTTCCCAAGCGCTTGGAGGTAGTGGAGGCAGCGGCACGTCCCTCTGCGGGGCCGGCACCCCGGGGTGAGCGCCCGCAGCAGCTCCCCGCTGCCTGATGTCGGATGCCGGGGGCCAGAGGTGGCTGCTGGAGTGTGAGGTCTCGCTGGAGGGATGCTCTGCCCTGCGTACGCCTCGCAGGTGTGAGTAGGCAATTAACTGCTGCTGGCTTATTATTTCAATCCTCATCCCCTTCTTTTGGCACTGGAGAAATGATGACCTTGTCCTGTAAAGAAAGGTGAATGGGAATTGGTTACAGTAAGCACAGGCTGTGTCTAATTTGAAATACAAGGGCTTCTTCCAGGTTGCGGAGGGGAGAACGTGCGTGCTGGCCCACCACGACCCCAGCAGAGGAACCAAACCCCTCGGCATGCCCAGGGGGGCTCCATGTCCTCTTTTGGGGTCAGTCCTGGGGCTGGTGGCTCTGCTGGGGACTACACGGCACCAAACCCGTCGAAGGAAACTGTAGCTTAAGCTGCCTCTCAGAGTTTTAAGTTGCTGGCTTGAAGAGGATGAGCAGTGTTTGCATGACCCGCTCCCTGCAGGGCTCTGGGGAGGAGGATCGCAGCCTCAGCTCTTTCTGGAGCAACTGCCTGATGGCAGCAGCAGCATTTCTAGGTCAGTCCTACAGCTCAGGGTCACTCGTTCACCGGCAACCAGATAAGAGGCAGAGCCCTTTGCACCTCCCTGACGTGTTGGCAGAGGGGGGAACCTGTTGGGATTTGCTGAGCTTTTAGGAAAATGCTGTTTTGGCGCAGCTGGGGGCAAGCGGGAGAGCCCTTCACCCCTCCCTGTCCTTACGTCTCGAAAAGTGATGTTGTCGAAGCCCTGGGGAGCACTGCTCTCCGACAGCATCCCGCTCGCCAGCCTTCGCCGCTTCATCCAGTACCATCCTCCGGCGGACACCAGCGCCAGGACGATGACGGCCAGGAGAAAGCTGAGCACCACCTCTACCACAAAGCTGCTGGAAGACTCCTCTGCAGGGGGAGGAGATGTTGCCAGGCTTGACCCACCGCCCAGGAGAGCTGGCTCCAGCCCCAGCCTCAGTGCCAGCACCCCGAGCAGCACTGGGTTGACCCTTCTCAGCTCGCAGCCAGAACTGGCCCCACACCTTCCACTGGCACCTCTGGGCTGGAATGGCAGCCCCTCCTGGCACTGTACGTGATGTCGTCCAGTGCCACCGTCCCCTCCATCGGCCACCTCCATGTGGTGATCTCAAAGATGATCTGTGGGGGAAGATGGCGTCTTGGGGGGTGATGCATGGGGAGGGCACCCGACACCCCCGAAGGGCACCCGACACCCCAGACCCTGCTCACTCACCTGGAACTCACTGAGGCTCTGCACGGGCACCACGCTGCCCCGCCAGCCCCGGCTCCGGTGCCCCACCACGCTCCACACCGTTCGCCGCCCCGACGCACTGTGCAGCATCACCCGCAGCTACACG